AAACCTAACATAAATCCAGTATATATTTAGTCCATAATCGCGGCACTGATAATATTATGAAATGAACGCGCCGGGTTTGTGCTCTTTTAGTCAATGGGTTTTCGGTGTGCGACGATAGAAACAGCGCCTCGAAGAGAGACTTTAATAATATAATTCTTATCGCTTCTCGCTTGACGTGATGTTTACGGCAGGCCACGCGTTATTTATTGTTCGGAAATTGTGTGTTATATTATTTTTATATTTTTGGCGTTCAACTATCTATATTGACAATGACTGGCGACGTACGACATATCGATTTTATCATTATGGTCGAGCATTTTCGCAGACCATGTTCGTGAAAGGCGTGCCAAAAATAATGTTAAAAATGTCGTTCGTAAAATAAATACTTGGCGGATGCGAATCGCGAAAAGTTTAGTCGCCACGCCGCCACCGACGACGATCGACGATTAGACCGACGGGCAACAAGTTATTGACACCTGTTATTAGTTGCACGCAACACACGACTAATAACGGGCTTAGGGCTCGAGATTGTGTATTATCATCAAAAAAATAACGATATGAAAACAAAATTAATAGCTCTTTCCGAATCTCCTGAACGGCGTAATATTATAATAATAACGACGCATAATATTTTTATTTTAAGTTCATTGTCTTGCGGCCGTCGGTGGGGACCGCTCGAGTTTTCGACAGAACGCGTTTGTTTATTGTTTTTGACTATTTAAAATTTTTTCCTTTTTTCTATTCGRAATGCCTCTGGGGACGTGTGTGCATTATCGTCGCAATGCAGTTCGGAGGTTGCGATGGGTAATAAATAATAATATTATATTCCACATAATATTATTATCCTTGGGTAAAATCGGTATTCGTCGACGTGTTTATGTGTGTGTGTGTGTCATCGTGTGACTGTGTCGGCTAACGACTAAGGATAGTATTTTCATATAATATATCAATACAATAATATTTATTTCGTGGTCATCGTCGTTGAATGGCGACCGATCGGTATACAGAATATGTGGTGTGTAGGAGTTGACGAGTGGGGAGATTATGGTCATTCGATATGTTTTATTATTATTTATTATTTATTATTAACGACTGCTTATRTGTATGGTGGTATGCGTTACGCTCGTGTTCGTACACCGACGAGGACGATTTTCTACTCGGGTCGAGACGGTGGCAGACTTTATTTTTTATTATTAAGAATGCATTTTTTGCGCCGAGCGTCGATAAAGATGATAAGCGCAGCGCGGTTGGTYGAATCGATTCAAGAAAAAAACAACAATATTCTCATATCAAATAAAATAAAGGAAATACATTACATTTATTACGTGGACACATCCATAAAAACTCGTATTTACCATAGATGAGCACACAAACTCGAGTTTGGTAAATAATAAGTTAACACGAAATAGGTAATTGCGCAAAACTTATTATTATGTCGCGCAGCGTTTTAATTCGTTTACAGRMTTTATATTATACTTACCTCCCCTCCAGCTGCGGAAGTATAATAGCGTTCTATCCCTTCCATGCACGTGGGATAAATATCTCAATATTGGCATGTATGGACCTTGGATAGACGCGCAAAAAAATCTATACGCGATAGACAAGGTCGAAACAACGAAATTTTTTTGCCACACACACAATTTTCGKCACAAAGACAATGTCGTATCGTCGTTCGCACGCGCGTTTAATATATTTTTATATATATATATATTTTATATACTTTCCTGTTCACTTTTCGTATTATATCTACATATAACCAGTCGACGTGAGTYCATTACCCAATAGCCTTATCAGATATTTGTATATTATAATAAAATCGTTATAATAACAATATATCAACGCGTTAATGCTATTTTTCTATGGTTTGCTATTTTTTTTTGTATTTTACACGTGTGTGTTTCCCGTACGATATTCGTATGCACTTTGCATGTTCATATATAAATGATTTAGATATCAATTGAATGGATAAATTTTTATTAAGCAATTTTTTTTATTTTCGATACGCCGGCAACGTGCCAATTACACGTAGGTAATTTACCTAATTTGCTCAGGTATTTTACATAGAATGTTGTTCTATTAGCCGTYTGATCTTAAGTTTCTAGTAATATTGTAAAAATTTAAAATATAACGTCGTCGCCGTGGCCCGTGAGCAAGTCAGTATACAAATTATTCGTAAATTACTTGTCGTCCGCTTATTAAAAGTTAATTAAAACGTAATTATCTCTATTATGTATTCAAATTTCTGACACCCGTGAATGACGGTCTACTTGAATTCTTGTCTATTTTCAAAATCGTCTTCATGATCACGACAACAACGACGACGATTAATTTTCTCGGAAACGAGAGTATGATTTTTCTTTCTAATCGGGCCACTGCCAGCACGGATCGATTTCGATCATCGCGCTTGTAATAGTACCTATATCGCGCAATGTATAAACGAGTCTCCCCTTCGCTRCCACTCTCCTAATGCAGTACATCACAGCATGCACCGACCGACCGACCGACCATCGGCGTCGGTGATTAAAATTCTATTTCTTATATAAAAGTCGTCGGTTTTTAATTTTCTAATTTATTATTCCCCACCACGGGCGCCGTAAAACGGAACGGACTCACGCACTAAAAAAAACCGAAAAGAAACAACCCGAAAACCCTATCCTTCAATTACGTGTACATGCGTTTCGGGTTTAACAACATTCCAACGTCCATTGTCGGCGTCCGGGCCCCTCGTCTCTCTCTGACAACAACCCGGTTAGTGGTACCACCGGCGCTGACGACGACGACGACGACGACCTGGCTCCACCCACAATCTTCTCCGAACGCATTACACATTATAATATACAGTCTGAGATGCTCATCAATCTCGCAATAAAATCTCTCACCTCCGAGGCTGAGCCAATGATGGTCGTCGTCGTTATCCCTTGGGTATAGGTAATTGACTGCTGCCGCGCCACGGCGGCGCGAGGAAACGCAGCTATTATGTATATATCATCCCTAGCGATTGAGATTCGGATAGATACTCCTCTCTCGACCAGCCAGTCAGCCACCCGGAGGCACATTCCATCGGTGGTAGTATATACATAATATAATGTGTATACTACCTATTCGTTATGATCTCGCTGCACGCACACATCATAATATTATACATACATAAGCGGCATAGCATTCCCACGTATATATTATTATTTTTATTATTATCGTCTTAGTCTTAGTCCTACAGGTCTCTAACTAATTTATAAATTAATTTCTCGCCTCGTTCGATCGCCGCGTCTTAGACGCCGCCGCCACCCCGTGACACACGTGTGCGGCGGCGCTCTGTATAATTTAGTGCCTCATCGTACATAGTCGTTTTTCGTGTCCTGCGAACGGGTCGACCGGACGCATATATCACGCGTGGTCCAAAGGAAATGTCCGAAAACGCCGCCATTTGTTGTCGTTACGCGGCTTGARCATGTTACCAGGTCCTATATATACGCATACCGAGAACATAATATTATATATATGGTCCCAAATAACAAAACGGTGCTCCCCCGGAAACTGTGCAGTATTGTATATACAAAATCCCGCCGCCGTCGGTTTCTTCTCATGGTTGTCGTAAAAATTATTTATATTTTATCTACCCCATTAATGATTTCGCTCGAACGAGAACACTGCTGCTGCAACCACTTCGCGTCTTGTGTAGTCGAGTACCTCATCTATAATACATAATATTATATAGGTACCTGCCTCCATGCAACGCAATAGTACCTACATATGTCTTACATTATAATAGTGCATGAAGGCGTATTGTTTATGCACAGTGCAGTTTGCGGCGTGTGTGAATGCCGCCCGCGACCGCCTCCACCGGTATTGTCCAAGACAATAAAACCATCACACATCAAAACAAGTGAGGATGGTCCTCTTCCAGAATTTCATTTTATTTTTAAGACATATTGAATTCTATTATGTCGGTTAGGAGCGGCGACGTGTTTCGTGTGTAATCGTGTCTCGACTTTGGCACCCTGTAATTATTACTCGTCAACGTCAACGACGATTTGACTTCGGGCGACACGGCACCGGTTCTTTCGACAAAAAACTAGATAATTTCATGATTATATTGTTTTATAACTTATATGATGTAATATTACATAACTGAGCAACGCGTAGTGTGCCGTATTAGATATATATATATTATTTTTTTATAAATGTTTATATAGATTTATGTTATTATCTCATTAAATCTTTATTATTCGGATAACAGTTGCGTGATGTGTTTCCTGTACGATATAATGGATTCACTTCTACTAATAATTTTCCAATCGACTGTGCGTAAGAACGATATTTTGATTTTTAATGAGTTAGCCGTACACATTGAAATTAGTAAAAAATAAATAAACCTCCGTGTATTGTAGACGTATTATGATTTATGATTTATGATGTACATATATAGTATTCAAACTTCAAAGGTTGTTTGTACAGTGGAAAAAACCATATAAAAAACGTATTATATCAAACATTTTGTATTTATCAATGTTCTTTTCCGGTGCACAGATGATAAACTGCGATTACGAGTGAAAAATAACTCGTGTAAATTAACAGCATTCACAAATTAGTCGAAAATAATATGACGATAAAAATGTTAATAAAAATAATAGGTGTTGGTTTGTTTAGAATTCTGAGTACAAGTTACGAGTACAGTTCGTCGCAATTATTTTTTATTATTATAATAATTGAACGATTACGTTCTTGTTCTCCGAAAACCTACCAGCTTACACGTATTATAATTCACGTATAAATTCATACGATTAATAATATGATTATTATAATTATTATATGTCTCGTACTCGGACGTTCAAATCGAAATCTTTATTAGTTACTAATTATAAAAACTATGTTGAGTTATTGAACATAATTTTGAATTGATTATTCCATAAGACATAATAATATAATACCATATTTTATGTTCATATAAGTATTCTATACTTGATGTGTTATAAACGTTGTGTGTTATTTTTGTTGCGCAGGTCTGCGAAGAGCAAAAGTGCCAAGAAGACATTTTTCCATTGGCCGTCAACTATATGGACAGGTTCCTGTCGGTTAATCCGATCAATAAAAATCACCTACAGCTACTGGGCACCACTTGCCTGTTGGTCAGCTCTAAACTTCGGGAGTCCGACTGCCTTTCCGTCGACCTTTTGGTTCTGTACACGGACAATACCATTACTTCTGAAGAATTGTTGGTAAGTCGTCTGCTCGTTGTATATACTCACGTTCGAGTTAATATTGAACCCGATAGTCGGCGTTTTCTTATCTCCCTCGCAGCTCATTGTCTGCAATTGTCATTGCAAACCCATTGTCTTGGTGTCGTCTCCGCTTATACAATCGTTTGTTTGTGTTCAACGACTCGAAATTTTCGTTTTATTTTTTTGTTATATACTTTATTGAGTAGTGGATATTTAGGATATCTCTCTGTTAAATTCGTTTTAATAATAATGTGTATTTTTTTATGCATCCGATAATAGAAACATATTTTGTAGTTATTTCTCAACTATAAATATCTTGGTTCAGCAATGGACATAATTACATGCAATAGGGTTTTATTATTAGGTTTTTTTTGGTCAGATATTATTTCAAACGCATTATTATAATCTCGATGTTATTTTCGCAAAAAATCTGTCAATTATGCACAGTGGATTCATTCAGTTTTGTACACAACATAATAGACATTATGAATTATGAAATACACGCTTTGTTAAATTTGTTTTCGGATTTTTTTTATTTTTTTTTGAAGCAAATCGGCATAGTGTTTAGTATTCGGTGTTGCACACAGACCGCCAACGTATTTTAACGAAGAATTACACAAATACAAATGAACTGAAATTCGTTTGGTCGATTTGGCTCGGATAATAGAAACATTTTATTTATGCCCGTGTGTGTGATAATAAATAATAAAAAATATTATACGTTTCATCAAATTCATATCGTCGCGTGTTTTACTTGCCATGCATTCGATTGAATCGTTTAGAAAACATAAAATTTAAAAACTACGTCACGAACCTTGTCCGTTTACCGTGGTGGTGTGTGTATAGGTTTGTGATGTCGTGCCTTAAAAACTTAAAAAAACAGTCGGACAATGATTACCTCGTAGTTCCATTTCCATTTACCATCTATTTACCTACCCATTTTAGAATTTTTACATATTAATCGATTGTCCATAATAGTGTAATATAGATTTCCAGTAATTATCTGGCATTTTGACGGTTGTGGTTTGCAGAATTAATAATAGTTACTAATACTCGTAATACTCTCGAGTCACGAAGGTGCTGGGTGGTGGGAGGTCAAAGGGGAAAAGCGATATTTTGGGGTATACCCTTTCACGTGAATATCTGCCGACGAAATAAGATCTCTCCGCCGTCGTTGGGAATTAATATTGTTGTGCGGGCTACTCCGACGCGCGCAAAATTTGTGTGTGGTGTGACCGACCGACTTGGTAATAATAATTTGTATTATTATATACGCACAGCTATTATATACTTTTTTTCGCGCGCATCGTATTATTTTTCTATCGCAGTTGGTTGCGAKMTCGACACAACATACAGTCACCCCCCGACATTTTGGGGAGATCAAAACAACGCGTGTATCGATTGGAAAATAAACTACGAATGGAATCCCTCTGCCGTCGTGTGTTTTGTGTGTAATTAACGGCTGGTGTGGCGCAAAGGTGAGACGGGTAAGGTGTGTATGTGTGTGGTGTACTCGTGCACGATATATTAGACTCCGCCACCGCAGACGAACACGAAATTGGGCGACAAAAAAAATAAAAATAAAAAAAATATTCGAATAAATTATCATCGACCAAGACTAGTGGTATTACCACCGCGCCGTCGCCTTCATCGATTACCGTCGCCGTGAGAGAGTGTACTTACTTTTTTTTTATATATATATAGGAGTTATGCTAATAAAGGGCGGTGGCAGCGTGTGGTGTACACGCCACGGCGGCGCAGGAAACGTTGGCCAGTTTTTTTAAATTCTTTCTATCTCTCCCGAGCGCGTGCGAGTGTGTGCATGTGTGTGTCCTTCGTGATTTGGGCGCGCACAGAAGACCACCACAATGGGTGTTAAGTGTGCTACTATAGACAAAGTGAGAGAGTGTTTTCGAAGGAGAAGAAACGATCGGTCGGTCGCTCGTTCACACTACTAACTGCCATAGTACCATCACCTTATAATATGTATATTATGTATAACAACCGAAACGAGAATGGACGAAAAACTGAAATATTATTACCGCGCGTTGTCGTCGTGGGAGGATTCTGTCGAACAAAAGCCGGCGGTAATAGTAATTATTATTATTGTAAAGGAGACGGGATTCAGGAGGGCGTAATAGAAATAAAAATAAAGCGCGTAGTTCGTAATGATGAAAAGAATCGTTTCAAGTACGAAGCGCCGCCGCCGCTGTTGGACACCGCGACCGTGACGTAGGTACACAATTGTGGATTATTCGTTTTAAGATTTGATAAAAAAAAAAAAAATAAAATAAAAGTTACAAATTGTACAAATTTAAATAAAATTACTGAATACAATTAATTTTATACTTGAATTTCAAAAAAAAAAAAAAAAATGTCCGCATTGAAACGCTCCGACGTCGTCTTTGTCGAGTAATGTTTTAGCATGATCAATCTGTCAAAGTCACTGCGTATATAGGTAACATATACGTTCCCTCTTAAAGGTCGACAATTCTATGATACGCGYCGTGTGTGGGGTTTGGGAACAGATAAATCGATTAACTCGCTTGATCAGAATATCAGATCAAGTATCGGTGGGTATGCGTCGGACGAAGGTAMGAATAGAATTATTATAATAATAATATCCGATATACATAGAATGTATACATAGGTATACTTATTATTATACAGTCCCGTTAAAAACGAAATTCTTTTAAATCTCGTCGATCAGTTCTATATTATTATTATTATTATTGTCGTCGTAAAACAACAAACACGCAGACGTACGTCGTATTATAAATTGTTTACCTTTTATATTATGCGCCCGCAGACGAAGTTGTTTTTGTTGTTAAAACGCGCGACGTCGACCGGATGCCGATGCCGGTCCGTAGTCGTGTTTTCCTGGCCGCCCAAATGTTCGGGTTGGAATTTTTTATTTTGTTTTTGTTTTTTTTTTTCAATCGGACCGACGACGATAAGTCGAATATTATAATTCGACGCGACCGGAGTCTCTTGTATACGTGGATAGAAAGGACCGGGTCGAGTCGCGTGCATACACGTGCATGTGTGGTGGTGGTGGTGGTGTCTGACGGGCGTCTTCAGAATATTATATTTTTTATTATTATTATTATTATTTTTGTTGTTGTCCTGTTGTAGCTTTGTGCCCTGCGGGTGGGTGTATTGACGACACTATTATTACCATGATTATTACTACGTATCGCCGGTCGCATAGAGTCTTAGCAAGAGCAGACTTAGCGCGCGCGGCGTCTAGGAAAAAAAAAATGAATACCTACGTGTTTATTCCCCTTCGCGCCCACATCCCGAAAAAAAATACCGTCTACACACGAAATGATTATTATAGACATTACACGTATATAGTTCACACTGTCGCCGACGCGCCACTACTCGTTTGTTATTGAAATTATTGTTTCTCGACCAGGTCAGTCGTTGTACCTATATAGTACGCGCGTATTGTGTGTAATACACGCTAGTCGATGTGTATTGTTGTTTTTATTATTATTATTATTGTGCTTAGATGCTGCCGCCGCCTGCACGTATATAAGGAAATCGTGATAATGCGTTCGCGCCACTTTGTTTTTTTTTCTTCTCTCCTTTCAATAAGCCTTCCTCCGAGTCGTGTCGCGCGCCAGCACACAATGTTTATCGGTTCGGACACACCAAGAGCCACGCAGGTTATTATTACCGCCACCGCCGCCGTCGCCTTAATAATAATATCTCATACGCTCAATATTATATTGTAATGCCTATATTACGTATCTCATCTCACGCTTGGTCCTTAAGGAGGCGCTTGGTTGTTTGTTCGGTTTTTTTTCCTCGCGTTCGCTCGTTTTCGGTGGGCGTCATCACGGGCTGCACCGTGCACCTATATACGCGCGCGCACTTTAAATCGCATTAATATACTACGCCGCCGCCGCCGCCGTTCGTCAAATTGATACGTAACTTAGACTTGGGAGTCGTGTATATAATGATAGCATGTGTGTGTGTGTGTGTGTGTGTGTGTATTTGGTACACTCTAATTGACGGTAAACGTGTCTCTCGCGACTGTGCACGTCTCGTTAGCACAGCCGCCTCTGGTTAGCGCATCGTCGTATAGTTTCGCTTCGGACACCGTCCCGAAAACATTTYTTTTCCAAACACATTGCGCGTACCTACGAATCTGTAGTAGAAATATTTAATTAGTTCCATTTCTACTGTAAATCTTTCGCTTCGCTCGTCGCGCTTTCATTATATAAGGAAAATTATAGAAATTGTATACGTCTCGTTGGATGTCTGAACAAACGTTCCTATATATATATATATATATACACGCATTCGGGTTACTTTGTGCGTACATTTGAAAAGTCTTCGATCACGCCACGTGATCGACGGCGACCACGGTATGCGGTGCGTACATTTTGGAGTTTCACGCCACGCATCGCTGTCTTAAAAAAAAAATAAAAAAATAAATTGTATAATATTCGATAAACATGTGTGGATACACCGCACGCATCGACGTTACGTATTGAATACGAAATGCGCGACGTTCTTATACAATGTGTGCGTCTCGTATGCGGATGCGTGTGTGGTGCTTCTAGGGCGCATGTGTGTGTTATTCATTGGTTATGACGTGTGTGTAGTTGTAATGTTTAATGAATGGTGTATGTAACGATTTTGCGTAAATGTTTCCCGTTTGGGTCCATTCATGTTTCCGGACGATGTCTGTTCGTCTGTGAAAACAAACTCTCGTTCGGTTGGGGTCCGTGTCTCCGTGTGCGAGAACGGTCAAATGAGGGCGAAAAAAAAAACGTCTCATAAAACTAGTGTATTTATCGTTTTTTTTCGGCTTTCATTCATATGCGGCAACTGGCTGCTGATGGTTACGGCATTCCGGTCGGGACGCACACACTTAAAAACGTTATTATTTTTCCTTTGTCCACACAACATACTAATATATACACTCTTTACCGCTGTTGCCTATACTCTGAAACGTCCATCGTGTATACGCGTACACATCAATA